TGCTAGTAGTAAACCAAAGTAGGAAAGGAAGTAGTAAAAAAGCTTCACAGTGATGCAGCACTGTTTGTTCCTTCAGTTTTATGCAGGTGTGACGTGTCTGATGCCACAGAAGGCATAAAACGGGGATCATAATATAAAGAAGCAGATCCTCCAGCATGCAGTAAGGCACAGGCAAAACCAAGTCCTTTCGGCACACAGGCTACGTATATTAACCAATGCTAGTTCAAATTTCAAGGTGCTTCCTCATGATCAGGACACAGGCGTTAAAGGTGACAACCCCAACTATTTCTACCAATTCCTTCTGGCACTCTGCAAGCAGCTCACCAAGGATCTTGAACACTCTCCTGAATGTGAACAGCCACAAGAACTCAGAAATGGATCTGACCGTGCAGTTACACACAAGCCTTATTTTTGTTGCACTAGGAATCTAGGTGAGCACTCTGCCAGCTCAAGACCTGTCCCACGTTACGAAGAGGTTTACCACTGACTTCAGAAGGAGTATACTGGCTTCTCACCTTTTCCTTTCAGCAACTGCTATCTCACAGGGTTTCTTTCCTGTTATTTTGTACTCTTGCTAACTTTGTGCTTTAGTTTCTTTTCCTGTTTTTGTCCTTGCACTGATCAGACTGTAACTCACATCAGGCCATCCAAGAGGAATTAAAAACCAACAGCCAGGACCCCTTCGTACGTACTTTTCCCCCCCCATTTGTTTACCTTTACATATTTATTGATGATTTAGTTTTGGCCTGAAAACTCAGTGAGAGATGGGAGTAAAAGGAACAAAGAGCTAAAACAGGCCTACACAGAGTTCTGGAAAAAGCCAATCATAAACATGGGTAGGGTAGAGCAGCAGAGTCCACACTGCTGTTAGTCACAACAAATATGCCACACTGAGGTGTAAATCCCACCAGATTTGAGATGAGTTAGTTTATGACTGTTAGAAACCCTTAACTGCTGTATGAAGCCCATCATCAGTACAATATAGTAGTTCTTGTAACCAGGCAACTGGAATAAGTTGTATGAACCTTCATCTTAACTTACAATGACAGAAGTACTTGCAGAAGCAAGTTAAACTTAGTTAACCCCACAGTCACCAGATGAAACACACTAATGGATTTCTAAGTCCTACTATAAAACTAGCTCAAACTGTAAAATATAAGGAGTCCTTACTAATCCACAGTAGAAAGTATTCATATTCCACACCCTTTTTTCCTCAGTGTTATGCTCCTACAATACTCCTCATTTACCATACCCTAATTACAGAAGTAATTTGGGAAGTAGCCCAAGCTGTAGTGACACAGAGATGACAACTTTAACAATGATGCATGAAAAATACCTCCAGAATTGAAAGTTTTGTTTAGCAACAATAGGGGGAAAGTCAGCTAGAGGACTGGATATTGATTTCTTATTCCTGTGTCACTAACTGATGTGGGCCTCATGCTGTGGGTTAGGCTGTGATGCCTAAAGGAGGCATCCCTGTAAGCGTGGGCATCAGTGGGAGTAGGACTAGCATCAGCACAGAACCCAGATGGCTTAAAGCCAGAGAACCCAGTGAACCTTCTCCTAACAGTTGTGTTAAATACTTTCTGCTTAGCAGTACAAGTTAGTTGGAAACTTAAGTCAAAAAAGCTAACAAAAATAAGGCAACAAAATTAATTTTTATATATATACATACATATATATACATATGTATGCACCTAGAAAACAATCTGTTTGCACTGTGTACTTTTCATATACAATAACTTATTACCACATTAGAAATATACTCTGGGTAACATTATGGGCCAAATTCATCTCCTTTACCTTCCATAGTGTTGCACCTGCATACAGCAATAACGAATTTGACACTTGGTCCTTCTTGATGACAATACTACATCAAAGCAGTATTAGAGAATACCCATTGAATGTCAGATCTTACACCATTATGAACTAGAATATCTGCTTGCTTTTCATATTACAGTAAGTAGAGTTTATTGCTTCTAATGACCAGAAGGTACCTTATGAAGACAGCATAGATGTTGATAACACTTTTCATATACTGTATTATGGATCTTGGAACACTGAGGTTGGCAGATCACAACCATGACATTATATTTCTTCTTTATTTGCCATTTGCGTTTGGATTTTGCTTTGCTGAACGCACATGCAACTAGTGGATCTAACTTTGTGCCAGTAGTGATATGTCAAAAACATTTAGGAAAACTTACTGGTTTACTGTTTTGTTTTGTTTTACTGAAGTCAGGCATGAGTGGCATGCAGTAGATTGCAAGGAAAAGCAAAAGGACATCCATTTCCAAAGGATTTATAATCTCCATGCACATGTAAAATGTCTCTTACAAAAAATTGTTACCATTTGTTAAAAGTGTGCCTTTTTGCTTCTTTTTATACAAGTGTACATGCAATTACCTGTCCGAGCTAAAACTATTTACAAAATCTCATAATACAATACATCTTTTAAAGTGAATAATACATGAAAGGCCAATGTTTTCTGTTGTTTTGTAACACTGTACAAGATTAAAAATAAATAAGGCATTATAATACAGGTTTATCACAAATTAAAAAAATGTCAATTTTCACTGTAATACAAAACTTTAACTTGAAAGAACATTATGGCTAAATAGTCCTCCTGCCTGGGCAGAACACGTACAGAATCTGGACTTGCTGATGTAAAGAAAACGCTTTGTTTCTGCTACAAGCAGGAATTCAACACATGAAAATGATTCACGCTACTTACTAATTTGTTCAGACTCCTCAAAGCACTGAAATGGCACAGGTCATACACTGTTTCCCTTCTAACAGTGACTCCCAAGTACTTCCTTTTGCCTTACAGATAAATTACAGGCAAAAGTGTGAAAGAGATTTAGGCGCACGACCTCCTCTCGGGTACGGTGTTGTGCAATACTCAGTTCAGTACTGACACGGGACATCACTGTAACCCAAACAGAGCTTGGCCTACAGAAGCTCACTTCCTGACCTTCATAAGCACGCTAAACACCTGGTGATTTCCGCAGGCCTTGTGGGTACATAAGGAATGCAGATTCAGCCTCAACAAGCTGAAGCTTTTGGCTCTCAGTCTCATCTAGAGAAAGCAAGGGAGAACTTGCACGTGTTTTAGTGAAGATAAGGGAGTGTGACTTGCCACAGTGGGAAGCAGCTACAAAACTCCTGCATTTTACAGTCTGGATAAAATAGCATTCTAGTCGATGCAAATGGAAAATGTTTGGAAATACCTAGCCAGAAATTCAACTAAATGCCAGTTTGTAATCTCAGCAGAGAATAATAATTAAAAAATCAGTTAAAGATAAACGTAGCATAGGAACACTTTGAAATTAGCTCCCAAGACAGTGAAGTCTGAAGATCTCTGATACTTATCTCCTTATATAAAGAACAAAAGACTTCAATTATTACTATTATCTGAAAGAGAAAACGTGCAAACTGATGTGAAATATTGTGCTTGCTATTGACAGACTCTGACATGCCAGAAAGGCATCACTTCATAGGGCTCATATCTGTTAATCATTTCAAGCTAACAGCTGCACAGAACAGTGGTGCAGGAGGGTATTCTGCCACAGTGCACCACATTAATATCCCAAATGAAACATGAGGGACTTCAGGGTACAGTGGGGCAGAGCTGACTCCTTACTGGGTCTACAACAAGGTCACCCAACCAGAAGTTCCAGAGCTTGACCAGAAAGTTGGGAAATAGAACTGCATGCATCAAGGTGGACACAACCCAAATCCCCATGAAATCCAAGGAAATCCTTCTGATGATTTTCAGGGATATTGGACTGGGCCACAAATTATCCTCAGCCAATTGCCAATAAAAATTTGATGACAAGCTTCTCCAGTTTGGCAGAAAATGTGCATTTGTGGTGTTACTGGAAGCATCACTACTACTTTTTTCTATGTATAAAACTCACTGAACTATGTATAAAACTCACTGAACATATCAAAGAATGCAGGAAGAGACAGGGGACAATTAATTTCTGCTCACTATAAGTAACAAAGAAATAATGGCATTGTAAACTTTTGGAGTGGGTCAATGGCTGTAGTTGGTCTATGTGTTCACATACTACCAGATCTACGGCTAGGATCCGAAGATGCTTTTAGTAAAAGTACATGTAAAAACAATGTTTTATTATTATCAGTGAAATTATACCAATTTCACAGATTCCAAAGTTGTATAACTTGGGCTCTCTGTTGTGTGGAACTGAGTGATTATTGCTATTGCACATTATGCTTCCCATTTTGGTTAAATATTTAACTTACCGGTGTGATGATTTAGTTCTGACAAGCCTATTAGAAAACAGTAGTATGTGGTGTGCTTTACACGGATACCATTTATTCAGTTTAATGATGTAAATATTGGTTCTTTTAAAATCTCTATATTCTACATGTATTTATTTAAATGGCTTTGAATGCCTCAAAAACCAGAAATAAATTATTCAAGATGAATACCTGTGAACTGTTAGGGAGGTACAGAAACACAGGGACTTTGACAGATGAGCCAGGGTGCATACACCTAGTACAGTCAGGAGGTGGTTCAGAGGCCTTATAGTCACCTGAATCACAACCCTAATTTTGCCAGCTTTGTGATGTAGCACCTAGCTGACAGGGTACACAAAAATCAGCTAAATACCCTGCTGAAAACCATTGGAGTCCCACAGCAGGGGACTTGCAGGACTTCTTTAACAATTTCCATCTGTTGACACACTATTTGTCCATGTATTTTTAACACAAACAGTGACTGCTCCAAAGCAAATGCTGGTTGCAGGAATATTCCTCAGAATCTTCTTTCCATTTAAATCACTACTAAAATGGGCTCACCAAAGGGAAATGAGGCATCTAGTATGTGCAAGTTTTCTATGGCACAATATGGGCAACTTCTGCAGTTTTTCAGTTTTGGGGTTTGGTGCTGTTTGATTTGTTTGGGTTCTGATTTTCTTTTTTGGGGGGGCTGCTGGTTTTGTTGGGCTGTTTTTTAGTTTAAAAGCTTTTAGTTAAAAGGAAGTTTTGCATGTTTTTAGACAACATAATGTTTCATTGCTCTTTTGGAAAGCAGTGCAGTGAGTCTGATCAGCATGCACATCCCCATCAGGGACTGCTAGTGACAGTGTCCATGGAGCACACGTCACTTAGCAGGATGACCTCCAGCTGCTTACAGAGCTGCACTCCACATTTCCCATCCCAATCAGAGTTGCAAGATGAAACCATGAACAATAGGATGTGTGGGCTGCATTAAAGGAAAAAGTGGTCAAAATATGTTCCCTTTTATGCAGATCAAGAGCAGGCCTCACTCTTCTGGCACGTTTACCAGTGTGCTCCTGATTTGGGCAAAGTTTGACTGTGCTTGTTTCTCAGAATTATAGCTTTCTATAATTGTACAGCTTTGAAGAGTGAGCCTGGGTAGAATCAAGATATAAAACTGTGGCATAAATTTAAAAATCAATTAAGACCTAAGCCTGTGTTGGCAAATACACAAATCTCACAAAGCTAGCAACAGCATGTTTGTCACCACTACAGGACTATTCTTTGACCTGTTTGGAAAGGTAAAGCTAAACCCTGGAAGTGAGCAACCAGACCTGTGCTGGTTGTAAAAGCCTGAAATAATACCATCCTTCTGCTCTTCAATAAAATCAATCAATTTTGGGTTTTAATGACAAAAAAATATATATATTGTTCTTCTGCCAAACCTTTAAGCTCTTCCTAGCTGAGGATTATGCTTTGAATTGGAATTTTCTGGAAGTTTTTGGAGCATGCAAGGAGAATTTTTCAAAATACATAGGGTTTAGCATTTAGTTGCATCCAGCCTTCGTTAAGTGACAACACAATTGTCATTGCTTTAACTCATGCACTGGGAACTTCTCTAACTCTTGCTGTAGACCAGCTGCTCCCCACACACTCCACTGTTAAATGCAGCTTTACTAATCCCAAACCCAACAGTGCTGGCTATGACAGAAAGAGAAATCTCTTTGCTGTGTCATTGCAGTTGGATGTGTAAATAAATACATGTCTTTATGTTTATCTCTATAAATCTCTATTAAGTCTACATACGACTGTTTGCATATGTGCATATATAGATTAAAACATATATATACACACACACATAAATAATTGCTTGCACGTTTATCTCATATTTTTTTTCATTCACCCTTTAAAAACACCAAGAAAATATTCCTCATTTCCAGAAAATCAGGTTTTGACTTTTCCTAACAGAATTGCTAGCCCTTATATGTTCCATCCCAAGAGTTCATTACATAGTCCCCAAGTTCTCTTTGGTTGGGTTGTAGTGGTCCTTGGTTAATGCCATGGCCTACGACCTCTGATCTCTTGGTAAAAATTCAGGCAACTCTCCAAGATCACTGCAAATGGCACAACCACATCTCCTTTGCTTTATGCCTCCTTTACAGCTGGCACAGAAGGAAGATAATGCAGTGTTTGATTTGTGTGAGTGGCAGACGTCTGCCCTGCGCCAGCTTTTGCAGGGAAGCTAGCAGCTGAGGACACCGACGGGCAGCTGGTGCCCAGTTTGGTTTGAATGTTTGCTCTCCCGTACGGGTACATTTTCCTCTCTAAGTTTAAAGACCGTGTTTGTGCATTATTTCCATCGGCCTTTCCTTCCAGGAAATAGGTCAACATTTCACCTTTTCCCTTTACACTGACTTTACCCCTGCACACAAATTCATAACTGCACCTTTTTAAGATCCGCTGAACTTCTTCTGTCACCTGCAGACAGATAAAAAAGGACAATTAGTTTTTCCTATTCATATTGGGTTAGTTCTAGATCTGTCCATCCCTCTCCATTTTACTTTTGTTATGGAATATGCATAAACAGAATGATTTAACACCTACTGCTGCTTTCAAGCTCACTTAAGAGTTTTCTTAAGGAATTAAAAATCACTGACCAAACTGGAACCTGTGAAGCAGAACTTCTGGTCTTGAGCTGAATAATTACGCAGCCGGATTCATCTCTGTCCAACAGAAATGTGTAACCAAATTGTCCACTGTTGTCAGCTGGACCAGTTCCAGTGACGTTAATTTACTCCACAAGAACTTTTGATCCCTGGAGACTAGACAGGTGTTTTGGATAAAGGACTGCAAGAGTTTGTTGAGTTTTTGAGAGGTGCAGGCATAGCTTCTAGCCAACCTCTAGCGGAACAACAAGGTTCTGTGTCTGTGTGGCCTCTCTGATCCAAAATATCCAAGGAATTTTTAAAGCTACGTAAAATGCAGCAGGATGCAAATGGACGTGGATCCTTCCCTTGTAGTCCTTATTCAGGCAAAATTCCTCCAGCACAAGGACTGGCCCATGCACTGTCGGCATTCCCAGGCTTGCCTCCAACTGTGTGCACTGCAGCAGAGAACTCTGTTGCTTCTGATGCAAAATGATTTGTTTGAGAGTTTTATTGCCTTCAAGTAGTGAAGCGTATATAATGGAAAATAACCTCACCTCTGATGCTTGAACCATCTGGAGAATGTTGCCCTTTTCAAAAGGGCTATGAGATCAAGTGAGGCTACATTTTCTAAGTGGACTTGAAAATGTAACCACAGATAAAACCGGACTTTTATCTGTGTATGTATGTAAAGTTTGCAAAACGGCTGCAGAACCCACTCACCTGAATTTTCCCCTGCACTCCAGTACTATCCATACGGCTGGCAACATTTACAGTGTTCCCCCAGATATCATACTGTGGTCTTCTGGCTCCAATGACTCCAGCCACTACTGGCCCAACATTAATACCTAAAATCAAAATGGTGAGTTTGGTTTCAAACACTACAGCTTATTATCCTAGGGAAACATGAATCCTGCAAAACAGATTTAACACAACTGCCTTAGCATTTTTCTGCTCAGAGGACATAATGCACGTTAAATTAATGCCAACCGGACTTTTGTACTTGTAAGAGGCTTAGACTGAAAATAAAGACATACACAGAGATAACTTACTGGAAATGCAGTATGACAGACAACATACAACCATGGCTCATTCTTTTTGTGTTAATTTTAAGGAAAGCAAAGCACTGGTAGAGCAGAGTTTAGCTGTACAACAATTCAGGACAAACTGTTACAGATCTTTAATTACTCACTACAGCTTCCACTGTAGTTGCTCATATAAAGCCTTTTAATGGAGGTTTTCCAAGTGGAACAGAAATAGCAGCCTGGAAGACATGAGGAATGGGGTAACGGAAGCATGTCATGTTGGTTGTCAGTACTAGAAAACAGATCAGGAAAACAATGGAAGAAGACAAGAATATGTGAAAATGGCCCAAGCACCTCTTTTTGGAAACCACAGGGCTTGATTCTACATTTCTGATTGATTTTTGACACCTTGTTCGTAAGACAAGAGAGGATGTCCCTTCTGAGTGCCCTGAAGAGCTATAGATGCTAAGACCCATACGAGGTTCTGTGCAAGACAAATTATGCAGAAGAATTAGGGCTAGATATTTGTTCTCTACCCTTTTGAACCTGGAAAAAAAGCAGAGTTCAAGAAGAATTGGGGTTTGTAACTATTAGGATGTACAGGAGGGCAAAGATATCTAACTCTCCCATTGCTACACTTGATGTCTTTGGTCCTTCTCAACCTTCCACTGGCAGCAACCTCACTTTTCACCTTGTCCAGCCCATTCTCACAATTCAGCCATGGAAATAAATGGAGAAAGAAGCTGGAGAAAACTATCAGTGTTAGAATATGCAATGCAATGAGACAGCAGCAGGAATATCACTAGAGAGGAGCAGGATGCAGGGAAGGAAAGGAAGAGAGAAACTTGTTCTCCGAGAGGTCTGGGAGAAAGGACTCTGAGAGCTAAGAAATGTAATAATATGCAAATGATTGTGGGGGAAGATTTATGTTGTGAAGACCAGCAATTTGATTTGTTGGAGAACACAGGACTGGTTGAGCTGATTTGGCATCTGTGGACAAAAAGCTTCCATGCCACTTAATACCAACAAAGCTTTTACAGAGGGAACTTAACAGATCCAATTTTCAGCAGTTTAGCAATCATAGAATCACAGAATGGCTTGTGTTGGAAGGGACTTTAAAGCTTACCCCGTTCCAACCCCTGCCATGGGCAGGGACACCTTCCACTAGAGCAGGTTGCTCCAAGCCCCTGTGTCCAACCTGGCCTTGAACACTGCCAGGGATGGGGCAGCCACAGCTTCTCTGGGCACCCTGTGCCAGCACCTCAGCACCCTCACAGCAGGTCCTCCTCCTGGGCACACCTTCTGCAGGCAGGTCTGCTGCTTGTTCCTGCCTGAGGAGAAGGGTCTGGGCCCTTCCTGCAGTCCCAGGTCTGCACTGCAGCCTCTCCCTGCAGCAGCTGTCATCTGCCATCACCAGGGTAGATGTTGCAGACCCTCCTCTGGAGCTGTGGCCTTTGCCTTCTGATGAGTCCCCACCACTCTGCCTTGAGGCCACAGATAGCCTCTGGAATGTCTCCCTCTCAAAAAGGTACCCTTCCTGCAGCCCTTCTGCACAAGCTGCCACGCAAACTGACTGGAATTGGACACAACTACAATTCCTTAATACTGATGCTCACTATCCAGCCTTCTGACTTCTTACATGGATGTGACTCTCCTGTTGAAGGAGCCTTTTCAGTTTTAATCATGAGTGTGGGACAGGTAGACGGGTAGTCCTTTGTAGACAGCACAGGGAAAGCCAACAAACAACAATGTCCTGCTTGTGTGATAATTGGAGAGATGTGACTTACCAACTCGTAGGACAAAGTCGTTGTAAGACTGATAGTTGATTTCATCAAGAACGTCAAACATCTCTATTGCGAAATCTGCCAGTGTACTCAGATGGGAATAGATTGATTTTTTAGCCTAGAAACAAAATAGTATTGCACATGAGATTTGTCTGGTTACTGAGAGGCAGGTGAAATACCAAAGTGAAAAACAATGAAAAGCTCAAACTGGATGGCTTAGGAAAAGAATTTAAGCCATTTTGCTGTTTGTGAAAAGAAATGTTTGATGGTGGCTACAGCACGTGCACTCTTTTCTCAAGTACTGAATTCATTATTTTTTTTTCATTCTCTGTTTTGATTTCTGGGAAGAATGGAAAGCAGAGTTCCCGTGGTAAAGTGGTTCTGTTGCTAGAGAGCTGCAGATGTTTGTTGTGAGTGTGGCAGGGAATATAACCTGCTTTCTTACTAAACTGCTTTGCCTGATGATTATTAATAACTATAGTTTCTGCCCTCTTCTCCCTTTGGGGCTTTTGCAAGGGTGCATGCTGTTCCCATTGACAAAATTCCTGTTAGGTTTAATCCTGGGAGATGCAGAACACCCTGTTTTCTTTCTTTTCTGGGCAAACTGAAGTGAGCTGTTAGAAAAATATATCTAAATGAACTAAAGCAGAAGAACCAGAAAGGATCAAATGAAATGATGATGTTTCAACTTGTAAATAAAAGCCAAACCAGAAGAAAGTAATTTCTACAACTTCAGTTGAATTAAACTGTAGAACTCATTTTCAGAGGATACAGTGGATTCCAAACGTTAGATAGATTTGAACATTACTACTCATGGAAGAAATACTACTACTAAAGCAGTAAAAAGAGACTATCTGTAGTCCTAGAATTTCTTAAGCAGCATGTCATTAGAAAGTGGGAAAGAGAGGTTTTTGCATGTTCTCTAACTCTTGCCCTTAACCTAGGATCTACCACTGGCTAGCTGAAGACAGGTTTCCAGAATAGGCCTTTGACCTGACTCATTATGCATTATGTTGCTCTTATGTTGTGCTCTTATTTGAATAATAAATATGAATTCATGACCAGATTTGCAAAGTTAAAGTGGGCTAAAGGTAGGATATGGTGAAAGAAAAGCAGGGTCAGTGGCAGTCTAGCTTCAGTGGGGTGTTGCACAACAGGGCCGTGGCAGCTGGCAGGAGATGAGAGCTCACTGGGTTTTTGTCATGATAGTGGGATTTCATAAACGAGCTACTTGACAGTGGCTGAGAAACCCGAGGAGCAGGTTGCTGTTTGCTTTCTTTGGCTCTGTTGGAAACGGTTCTTTCATGTGTCTGGGAAATTCACAAAAATTGGAGCAAAGTGCTAACAAAAAATATAAAGGCCATTCGTGGGGCAGGCCCAGTTTTTAGGGAGGATATTTTTATTTACCTGCCTGTGTCCCTGCAGTTCTGCTTCTTGTAATGGCAACTAACTACTCTTTTCCAGCCTCACCAAGACAAAGAAAGAAAGAGTTAAGTTTAACTAGCTGATGGCTACACTTCCAACACAGGAGAGGAATACTGAATGTCTGAGGAGAGAGGGAAGAGTACATAGTTTTATTTAATCCTCTAATCTTCTTTGTATTCCTTATCCTTTCATTTCCTTGCTGCCTGATGACTGTCTTGATTCCCTGCAACACCCCGCAAGGTTGCAGGAGACAGGACTATTGACAACTACTGGATGTGCTGCAGGTGACAGATGCCTCCTCTCGAAAGGATTACTGGCAAACCCTTTGGAACCAGCACTGAAGAACACCACAGTTAGGACCCTGGTAAAGCCAGGACCCTGGTGAAATCACAGACATCATTTCAAAGGATTACACACACAGAGAACTTATATTGTGTAAAAGATCGACAAAGAGTTTGCTCTGAGTGCTGCCCTGATGGGGTAACTGCCGAGGAATTATTTATTTAAACATCAGAGGAATAGTTACTGGAAAGACTGCCCAGAGCATCACAGCAAAGCCACTCTGACAGGGGCAATGCGCATTTACCATAGTCACCTGCTGAAGTCATGCTGTAGGAACAACAGTCCTGTAAAACACAGGATTTAAATTATTAACTTCATCAGGGTACTGGGTTCTTAGATGTGTAATATCCTGAGTTAAGAGCACAGTTAACCCCATGCACTGCTTTCTGCTCCTGTCCAAATCTAGTGTGAAATTGGAGGCTCATAATCAGAGGCTGTGCCAAATTTTCTGATGAAGCTGGGACACCCCTGGCAGAGGGGAGATCAGAAATCTTGAGTTTCTTGTGGTTCCCCATAAATACCTATGACTCTGTACTGTAGGGCAGCCCAGGCCCTGTGTGATGGTGGCAGTGATTGCACATGACAGGCTACCCAGGATCATCAGAGTCTTAATGTATAGCTGTATGCTGAAGAACTGCCAAGAGGATGTGAATAATTTCTACTTGTTTGTATCTGATGAGCAGTGGGAAGAGATCACAGGAGAACTGAAACCCCAAGTTAAAGTAAAAACCACTGTCTGTATCATACAAGATCTTCAGGTTTTCTGTGATACAGAATGTTAAATAAATTCTACCTGTACAGAAAAGATCAAAATTTGCCCCAGGATTTCAGAGAAAGGCAGAGTCCTGCAAAAGACTTTCTGCAGTGATTTATCACAAGCTTAGAGCGGTATCTTTAGAACTAGGCTAACTCAGCTGACCCTTCAGTTAGCAACTATAAAATACAAGAGATAAACATGTTTAGGTTTTGGAACATATGCTGCCAAAGTTACCCAATAACACACTTGTTTTCAGGATTATAGTTCAAAGAGCATTTATAACAGACACACAAGTATGCCATTGCCTGTTTGCCTGAGATCACATAGTCAAAATTCAAGGGATCAATTTTTTTGCCTGTCTCAGGACCCAGTAGTCAAATATTTCAGCATGAACAGTTTTAGAAATACCTTTTTGTAATATGTAGGTTTCTAGGAATAATACAAAGGAAAGCAGCAGTCATAAATACCCTTCAGACCAGAAAATTAGTTGCATGTGATCTACTCTAACAAGATTCCAACAGTTAATTTCAATGTAGTCTTGTTTTTTATTTACTTAGCAAGGATAGTTGTTGCTAGGAAGTTCACAAGCCATCTTTGGCCCTTTGGGCTTTTGCCCTCTTACTCAGTGTTACTTTGCAAAGCTAAACCATATACATGAGTGTATCTCTACAACATCTGTACATCCGTATCAGAACAGGGGAGATTTCTCGGCAGAATAGGTACATGGATTGTGCTAATTTGAATAATATTCCTCATATTATTAATTTAATTTTTTATACAATTTATTTTATTAATAAAATTATTAATGTGCATAGTACTCTGTATACAATTTATTCAGTATGTTGTCCACAGGTTTTCTGCTTTTCCAGATGCTGCATGTGAATCTCTGTCCCAAAACACAAACTTAAGGTGAGAAACACACTCAGGAGTAATAATGAGGATACAGAAGAGCTGTGCTTCAGAACTAGTGGGTCTGGAAAGTCTGCCATTTTTTAATTGCTGAGTAATTACAGGGGCTTTTACCCCAAAGGCTAACAGAATGCTAGCAGTTGACACAAAGAAGAGCTGATTTGGAGGGACCAGGGTAAAATGCAGCAACATACCTAGCACTAAGTTCCTGTCTACACAACTACTGGGAAAGCAATTTTTCTTTTCAGGGTAAGAGTTGTGCTTTGGATTTCAGATTTAAACTGCTGTAAAGAAGTAATACAAGTTATCTATAATTGCATAGAGTTAGCTGTGTTTCTGATGTTCCCCTAGAAACTGAAGAATGACTGTTGTGTAAAATCTTCTTACCTTAGTTCCTGAAGTAGGCACAAGTCCCACAGCTGCCATATATGTACTTCCAATTGTCTTGATCTTTTCTATGTCCTTATAATATTCTTTCTCCATAAGCTTTGTTTAAAACATAAAACTGTTAAATATTACATAATATTTTAGACAAACAACCACAGTTATCAGATAACACGTGCAACTTGATTAAACCAGGAACTAGATGATCTTAAGGTCCTTTTCAACCCTAACTGTTCTATGATTCTATGGTTTTGGTTAGTTGACTTTGAGGTCATTGAATAAAACCTACCGTTAACATACATGTTAATACTCTTCCTATATTAGAGGGATTTTAAGTCAGACACACATGCCTTAAAGTATAAACTGGGCACTTTGGAGAAGCCCAGTGGACACCAACTCCAACTGAATGGGTCATTGAATAAAACCTACCATTAACTCACATGTTAATACTCTTCCTATATTAGAGAGATTTGAAGTCAGACTCACATGCCTTAAAATACAAATTGGGCACTTTGGAGAAGCCCAGTGGATACCAACTCCAACTAAATATGAAGTTTATTAGGCAATTCAAGATACACTGAGTTGCTACAGATAATCTCTGTTGCTAGTCATTTGGTAGAACTGATATGGTCAAAAGAGACAGCATTTAGACCTTACCTCATCAAAATCAGCAATGATTTCATTTAACAGGCGTAAACATTCCACTCCCATATTATTGCCATCCAGTTCAATGTAGAAATCATTGAAATTTGGGATGGAAGCAAACATCACTCCCACTTGCGAATAGGACTGGTAATAAAGGTCCTGCAGTTTGGGAGCAGATAGAATTCTCATTTTAAAATATTAATTTAAACCATCATTATTATGTTTTCTATTCTACTACTAAGCAATAGGTAGGACAAAAGCCATCATTTTTTGGTGGACAGAAAGCCAGCCTCATTAAAAAAATGTTGAAAGATCTCTCCACTCAAAACACAAGGAAACAACTCAGTCTTTTTCTCTGTTTAGACGTGGAAGCAGTGAATACATTTGGAGAAAGTCTTAACAGTTGCAGAACTTTTATTGTATGAGAAACATAACTGAATTTTCTCAGTATTGTTTTCTAACTAAAATAGGACAATTTTACCCTAGAGCACAAAACCAGCCTTGCTCCTTCATGTCTTCCCTGAGTTGTGGTGTCCTGTACCCTACATTAACAATATAAGGCTGTTCTGTTTGGTCACATGTCTGCTTAAGAATTTGGAGGGCTCACGGAAAGCAAAACCACTCTTCTGTGGTTCAAATACATTGATCCAAATTCTCAAGAGCAGGATCATGGCCATTACAGCTACTCCAGTGCTGCAAGTATTGCAGCTGCATAGAAAGGACTCTGTTAAGAGCTTCCTGAATCAATTTATTTAATCACTGCAGCCTTTGATATTAAAAGCCACTGCATCTTCCTTGGCTGTGTACTCTCTGTTCTCAGCTTTAAATGGACAGGTTTGGTAATAGCAGCATATTTCCAGAACTACGGTGGTTCATAGCAAAGTGTCTGGCAGTTCATGCATTTCACCATTCAGGACCAAACTGAAATACTGTGATAAACACCAACATTCTATACTGATTGAGAAATAAATAATTAAAACCCAGTTATTTGCATGCAGACACTTGGCTGCATTGATGCTGAATGACACAACATTCCCTTATCCTGAGTTGTATTAAAATTCTTCAGAGGATGCTGCTAAAGTGAAGGAGATAGTCTAATTCCTGAACAGTAATGAAATGTCGTATGTTCGAGCCTTTCTTGAAAACATACACTTGAAAGATGACCCAAGGTACACAGGGTCACACTCATACGCCATCACCATGTATTTATATTTTATCTTGGTTTACCATATTTCGTGGATTAGACATTAGAAAGTGCTGTGCAACATGTGCCGGCAACAGGTTGAAGAGAATTCTTTTGTTATCCAGCTTGACTCTTTCCATATCATCTCTCTCTTCTTCTGCCTGTGGGGATAGAGGAAAAGAAAAACCTTTTAGAAAGCAAAAAATTAGCTGAAGCCGTAAAATAGCTTCCTATTAATTTCCTTTGAAATGAAACTGAGCAAAATAATGCCTGCAAAGTAGAGCAGGAACAGTTCTCCTACACCATGCTTTTACACTGGGGCAATATCCCTTAGATTTAGTAATCAGTAATCCAAGTCCTTAGTAATTTAGGTTAGCCTCTGGGCTGATGACTACCTTCAGGTCTTGATCAGCTAAGTGCATTTGTGTCTTTTGTAGTTCTCTGTTCTTTAAAATAGGCCCTTGACATTTTTACAAGTAAAAACCTAGAATAAGCCCATTTAAGCCACACTGGTCTTGGAGACCAATTACTTCCCAGGTAGGTGGAGACAGTGACAGCAGTATTCAGAAAGAGTGCCTGGGAGCTAATACAGATAAGGCCATTAATCCAAGATACTGCTATCTTATTCCAGGTTTCTTGACTCCCAGATGTTTAGTGGGAATCATGCATTAGGAAATTATTCTAAAAATGAGACCCCTTTTTGGAAAAATACTATCTAGGGATCTCATTTGGGACCCCTGGGTTTGTAACTTCCAGCCTAGTCCATAGCAGACTCTTCTGCAAAATGACTTCCACTGTTTTTGTTACAGTGTCTTTTGGCCCCACGTTCTGATTTCAATTACAAAGAAATATGATCAGTACCATATAATTCACCTTACTGAAATCACAAATCTTCTGCCATGATCGCAGTATGATTTTTCCTGACCTAGATGCAGTTGACAAAAGGCTGGAAAGCCAAATTCTCAGGCACTGTTGAGAAACTGTGACCAAACACTGAAGAATCTGCTCTAATTTTTGTCAGTGTCTCTTTTGTATCTATAATTTGCTATCCTGATCTATTCCAAAGTCCACATACTTTTCTCACTCTCCATTCCTGTCTAAGTAGGAGAAAACCAGTCACCTTTTACCTTTGTATAGTCTAACAATATTCTTTTCATGTGATTTTTTTTCCTCAGGAAGCTAATTTCTGTTTTCCATGACAAAGCTTAGGAAACAACCTTTTTATTCAGCTCACACAGACTGCTTTGCCTTGCAGTTTACTTCTGTATTTTAAATTCCTTTACAAGTAGAAAGAAAGCTGAAAGAGGCTTAATAAACTTAACTTTTTCAGGAATCATTCCCTTTTGAAATAAATCCTCAGCTCCTCCCCTAATTTGTGAAGCAAGAATCAGAATTCATTCCAGAGGCGAAATATCAGTAAGTGTTAAATAGCAGTTAAGCTCTGCACAAAATATACCTGAAATCGTCATTCTAAGAAAGTAGGCTATTTCCTGGTTTTGAGTTGTTTTCCTTACACTTTCTTTGCTGTTTAAATTTCATATGCTTTCTCTTCATGTTTTCACAAAGTAACGCTCCCCTTGTATAACTCCATCTCTGACTTATTGTTGTCTGTACATGTATGTAATGTCCTCTTGCATTTAGTCTGACTGCTGGAATTGAAATGTTCTAATGGTAAAAATAAAAAACTTTTTCCAGATGAAAATCCAAACCAAGCTTACAATTCCATTTTTACATCATCCTGGAATATGGGAAATTTTATTTTGACAATAGCAAAGAGATTTGCAAACAGAATTCATGCTCTAAATAAAAAAAATAATCTGTTTTGGGCTGGATTATTCATTCCTCTATTTTTTTACTAAGAATTTTTTGTTACTTTTTCCTAGGAATGTTTAAGGTTCTCAGTTAAGCTCCCAAATACAGTATGTGGTAGAACAGCAGCCTAAACCTCTGGGCCAGGGTGGAGATTTCTGGACAAGTCAAAGAAATCAAGCAGGGGTAGGGAAGCAGAGTAATCCCTTTCACACATTGCATGGATAGTGATGTTGCCTGATCACTGGCAGGTGCTGTTCAGTTCTGACCTGGAAGCGTACTATCAGATTCCTTTGGTCATGGACCAAAGTGGTCATTCTGGAAGCCATGATTGAGAAGATTGTTCAGCAATACGTAGTGTTTCCTACCATTGTGTATGATTCACAGCAAAGGTTTCAGAGCAAGCCACAACACAAGGACAAAGCTGTCAGCACTGAAGCAGACCCTTATGACCTTGGTCATGGGGCTGGACTTTTCTCCAACCTTTGATACACAGAAATAAAAGACAATTCTAACATACCAACATAAAATAAATGAGAAAAGACACTCCAGACTGTTGATTTTTTTCTGACATAACTTTAAGGCATATGATGGCTTTTCTCCTCCTTTCTGTCTTGCTTCAATACAGTCATGAAACTGCTGGGAGAGAAATGTCAGTGACACTACTGTGTGTGCAAGTGGAGTGTGATGTTCACAGTGATGGTACCACAGCTGTGACTAAGAGGCTGAGAATTGAGCCTCTGAGTGAAGAGCTACTACCTCAAACCAAACCAGCAGTCATTACTGAAGGAGTGGCAAAATCCTGTAAGAGCAAGGAAAGACATCAAGGATATCACCATTGCTAAGAAACACAGAAGAACGCTACACTTCCAACACAACTAGTGAGCATCTCTTCCCCTCTTCAGATGCAAAACTCTGAACTACAATTTTGACTCTGAGAAGGTTCAGTTGCCAGAATTGAGATAAAACACTAAGGTTATGGAAAACCCTTAAATAATGCCATGGTGGGTAACAGTAGCAAGCCCTACATAGAGACAAATTATGTAAACAGCAAAATAAGGGGAATGTAGATCAAGTGCTTTTTGTGCCCTGGCCTATTTCAGCCCAGGCACTTCCTGGTCTGCAGGAAAGAGGAAGGCACTTACCCCGTGGTTCAGGGAGATATTTGTACTGGGAATGCCTATGTGGGACAACGCAGTGCCAGCTCTGCCTGACCTAGCACTAGGCTTAGAAGCAGAACGTTCACAGAATTAGCACAGCGCTTCTCCTGAGCTACTTAGTCGTGTTGAAAAGCAAGATGTATCAGCTTAGAACACACGTTGGGTTAATACCCTTATATTGTTGCTGGTACCCTAGCCAGAGCCTCTGCATGGACTGTACTTATGCCTTCCAGACATACCACGTGTCTGACATTCTACCTTTATTCAAGTGATCTGCTAGGAATAGGAAATGAAGTGCACCTTCTCTGCTACTACTGCATACAGCTTCAGTATGCATCCTCTAGCCCTGCACTGCCTAAGACAGCTCTCATATATGCAACTCCTCAGGAACTGCCTGGGGAAAGAGGAAGGATCTCCATGTATCTCCTGCAAGGGAAGATAAGGAGCGAAGGTGAGGTATGTTCAGCAGTGAGGACTCTAAAACATGGCCCTATGGCGAGGGAAATAAACTGGTTACAATGTTTTCTGGACCTTTTTCCAGCATCCTGTTTCCTGCCCTTCAGGGGAGTGCAATGAAAACTGTCTTTTCTTCTTGTGACTCATGAAATCCTAGTGCCTACTCTTCGAGCAGCTGAGATAAAAGGATGGGTAGGCATCACCCCTTCCCAGATGAAACAAACACTGAGAAGAGAGAAGATGGACCTGGGGCAAATATTATCCAGACAGCTAAATGACATCCACACCTTCATCTATTTGCCCTATTCCTACTGGCTAGTTAGGAAAGTTTTCAGCATGTTATTTATACAATAGCTGCCGGCTCAAAATCCAAGGAAAATTATTGTGAAAACAAAGAAAAGATACACGGGCATGAGCAACATCCTTTTTTCACACCCTGCCTATTGCTTGTATCTGTTTGCTATTAGTGCCAGTTAGGTCATTTTGTAGAGATCAACTGTATTTGCAGAGCTGCAGTGTTTAAAAGCAGGCTTTGCTTTTGCTTCGGACCTGGTGACATAATTTAAAATGCACTTTGGTACTATGGCTTTTGACATCAATGTAATTAATGGCTATTTCATCTTACGGAGTTACACAGCATCCCAGCTCTTACAATACTAGTGTGACTGATTACACGTCCTCTATTCACAAAGTGGCATGAGATGTTGTATCACCTGAGCTATCAGGTGCCGTTTAATAAGCATAAACATGCTTTTGCAATGTCTGAAGAGGATTATCAAAAAAATAAAGTGAAAATCCACTGCTCCAAGATACAGCTAAACGGGAGCCGGGTACTGGTGCTGCAGAAGCATCATCTTTATACCTGAAGGTGGCACTAGAATCACATGGAAGAGACCCATCCCAGTGCTGCTCTATTTTTCTTATAGATTTTTAATATATTATTTCATACATTATCAGAGAAATTTAACAGGAAGTGCAAGCCCACCTGGCAAGGCTTTCCTGCCGACTGTAAAATCCATAGTTTTTACAACTGTCATGGATTAGGAATGCAACCATCAGTCATATCATTGTACTGGTTTTGCTCCCTGACAAAATCCTGGGTGAATAAGCAGCTCCATTTTTTTGGCAGATTGCCCTTCTTCAGAATTTCATCGTTTATATTTATGTGCCCATTTTTTTCCAGTTTTGTGGAATAATTTGCAAAAGTGATTATCAGCCACAAATAAGTAAAACTCTCCTATATTTGCTATTCACGATTACCATCATAAGAGGCACACAGAGTTGCTCTACAATGTTATGGAGAATATTAAATTCTCCTGTCACTGCCTGATAAAAGCCAAACACACCAAGAGAGATTTTCTGTGATATTCATAAAGGTTGAATTTGGCACAGCAAAAAACCCCAGCAAAATCAACGAGAACCTGTAACACCAGTGGCTTACAGAGCACAAATATAAATGTTTTAACCACTTCTCACCAACCAGAAAAATGCATTTTTTTTAACACAATGTACATAAATGACACCACTTTATATCGGTTCTGGTTCCCTAACCCAGATGCATGGGAATTAGATTAACTTGAAATTGTATCGTTTTTCTAAAGCAGTTTTTCTTCTCTGCAATCTGCTTTTCCTCACAGCACATTTTTTTCCCAATATGGCAGTCAAAATCCACTGAAATGGGTTTTTCTCAAACTCTAGCATAGCCCACTGAGCATCTATCTATATATTCTTACTAGTAATGGTATTAATTGCAGGATACTTTCAGTGTTTAAAATACCATTTAGTTAGTACTAGACAGTATGTTGTTCACGATAAAGTGAATGAAAATACGTATGAAATCCTGCAGCTTATGCCAGAAATGGTTTTATTAATCTCAGAACGTTTTTACAGGATTAGCCCCAATAATGAGCCTTACTAAAAGCAAAGTGCTTACATCTTCCAGAAGAGCCCCTGAATCTGAAATTCTCTCAGTTGTAAGCCAACAACTGAGAAGCTTCCTAAAAACATATGTTGAACCATGTTGGCGCATCTTCAGAGAGCAGTGTCTGGCTGCTGGGAGACGTGACTTTCAGCTCTAGCAGCGGTTCATGCAATTCAGTGTTTGCACAAGGAACCAGCACACTCACTGTAAACCAGAAGAAGATCTCCACAATCCCTAAGTCAGTGGTCTTTCTAAAACTGCTGCTACTAAGAATGAAATCAAGTTAAGCCAATAGTTGGTAGTACTATGGCTATAGAGAAATTGGACCAAGAATGCCGTTCAATCATATGCAGGGCTGCAGTCCAGCAGCTACAGAAAACTGTCACTCAGGAAAGTGTTTCTTACCCTTGTCTCCATTTAAGGACTGTTAAACAATTAGTTGCTTGGAGTTTGATAACTATCCAAAGGCAGTTTTAACATACAAATATTTCCAAGTCTTCCCAGAGCTTTTAATATATTTTTACTATGCCAAAGAGCCTAGTAAGCACAAAGATAATGTTTTGGTGGTTTTCTTTTCTTATTCATTTGAGTAAGTGAGCACCAAAAGCACTTCTGTAACATTCATGATGACAGTACTTCTGCATGTTATGTTATTTAGCCTTTGTATTCAGTATCATTTACAACCAATACACAGAACAAGACTCCTTACAGCATGCTATCCACTATCATTTATTGTACAGGGCATACACCTTCCATGTGCAATTAAGCACAAGGGTATATACCCAGAACAGGGCATACACCTTCCATGTGGAATTAAGCACAAGGGTATATGCCCAGATCATCAAAGATGCCAAATATCTACCCAACCACCTGATTTCAAAGAATGGTATTTATGTTGATACCTAATTTCTGAACGTTCAGCCTACACTGATTTTTGTTTTCCTTTCTGATTATTATCAAGCAAATCTCACAGACAAGTCAGTACCACATCTGCAGCTGAAAAGATCTGAAAATGGCATTTGATCTTCTCAGAGAAAAAGCACTTTTTGAAATGGTACCTGAAGATGCCACTGGACGTTACTGAAATTTGATAGGCATCCATATGTCTTAACTCCCATTATTGCCTTTGGAGTAAGTGCACAATGGTTTTAACAACTGGTGGACAAGTAGGTATAACTTGGTAGATAAGTAGGTCTTTCTGAAAAACCTGGCCCCAGGGCAGCAGCAGAAGTTTGGATTTCTTCCTTTACCATTGCCCAGTTCTGGTCTTTCACAGGCAAGCATCCCACCAGTTTCCTGCACTTGAATTTTTAAAACTAACTGATTGCTAATTAAAAGCCAACTTAAAACTAAGACTAAGCCGTACATTCCTTAGGGATGCAGAATTCACCTTGCAAGGCATAGTAACTGGAATTATGAAAAGCAGTTAAAGATACTTAAACTCAGTCCTGACCTGTTGAAAGGCCACAGGATAGCAAACCAGTATCTTCCTCCTTGCTACTCTATTTCATGGACAGCAATAACATACAGAAGGTCTTGTGTTCATAGATCATATGGCACTCACATACAACCTCCATGTGCCAGCCTACATACAGATGGCTGCTATGCTGAGTTTCTCATGTGCTGCCCTGAGTTTCAAAGTCAAGGGATTTCTTTTTTTTCCACCTGAAAACTGTATTTGGCATCACAGCAAGTGGAAATTATTTATCAGTTTGTTCAAAAAAAACTTCTGAGGCTGCCAGGCACCTATCAATCCTAAATGATTACATATTGTTGACTCAATTAAACAACAAAGAGTACACAGAAATTATAGAACAAGATAAACTTAAATCATGAAGGAGGTGGACTTGGTCTTGGACACCAAGATGAACAAAAAATCCCATCAGAGCTTAACTGATAGGCGGAAGACACTAGAGCTAAGTCATTCCTGATGGCTCCATTTTAGGTAACATAGTAGAGGCAGGGATGGGTTTAACCTGTATGTTCCAGTCTTGATCTTACACATAAAAGCAAGCACTGTGATGATTTATATGGTCCTTTCAACAGCACAGTTAACAGGGTGTAGATGAGAACAGGCTGTGACCTCTGTGAACTGCAAGAGCCTACAATTTATCATAAAAGCAACTTCCAAATTCCATGAAAACAAACTTACATCTTCAACCTTCACCTTCCCTCAGGGGCTAGTGTGAAACACTTCGGAGGTGGGAGTAGGACTGCTGAAAGGCATGACAGGAGGTAGACATTTCTTGATGCCCCTGCTTATAGCTAATATAATTTCTGTTGGTTTTGCTGGGATTATGATAGTTAGGAAATAGGTGTTTTAAAAAAGTACATGGACATGGTACCTAAATAAGTTTCTCACCAACTTTTGGGAAGAGTTCCAGTTTCATTGCATGATGTGGGTATTTCCTTTTATTGGTTTTATTTGCTTCTTTTCAGTTTACCTGAACATCAATTTATTTTCACCTTTTTTGTATTGTAAGATGAAAAAGATCTATGGATTGAATTCTTCTACCTGAAACTTACATTGCTAACAGTTAATTTCCCATGTTTGAAATTCTCTCTATTCATAATGTGCCTTAGATATAAATATATTACTTCATTAATGATACAGTGTTATGGAACAACTACAAAAAAAATCACTTTTCCAGAGCAAGTGAATGACATAGGTCTATGGAAAGAAAGTTAATATATAATATTTTTCCTTTGTAAAGCCCAACAGACATGAAAAATCTTGAAAGCGTCTTAGTCCAACTGATTTTTTGCAGGTCAATTAAAAAATCAGACGCTGCTGTGTGTGCACTAGAAAGGAAAGACCTATGGCTTACCTGCACAGCCCAGAGGTAGTCCAGACGCAGCTTCAAGTCCACCTGTCTGGAATGCAGTGCCAAAGCACAGGAAAATAGCAAAATGGCTAGTATTGGTTCATAGCCACGCATGTAAAAGGAGCCACCCCTTAGAAAGAAAAGGAAAGTAAATGGGTTATTCCAGGTTTTCTAATACCTAACACTTCATATTTCTAGTATGAAATCTTTAGTTTAGAACATGTGGGTACCCCGTAATCAATAGCCTTTTCCAAAGTGGCTCACACACAGGCAGGGAGAAAGGTGAGAGTAAATCTGATCACTGCATGAGACCAATGTTCAACTTCTTGAGGATTTTATAATGCTATACATTACTGTAATGGGTGCATGCTTTTAATTAGGGAATACAGTAACACTCAAAAGCTTAAATACATTGGAATTGTTGAGGGCTACACAGAAGTGAAGTTTTTAACTGTGTTTTTCTATTTGATATTATTATTAGACTGTAGTGTGTTCAGCTGAGGTATGTTAGCATAAAAGTCACAGAATAATGGGAAACAGCTCCTAGTTCCCAAAAGCTGATCCCCTGTTGATGGGTATTTCTAGATTCTACAGCTGCTGGGTAGAGGATGTCTTAAGTATTTCTTATGTCCTACTGAGTATATAGCCCAAAGCAGCACTGAATTGTAGAGAGTAATTCATAGATGAGATATCATAGCTATCTATACAGACATACTCATTGCTTTAACATTGCAAGATACTTACCCCACTGCTTTTCTGTAACCACTGAGTTCCAGAATAAGTATGTACAAAATCGTAACAAAGAGCAGGAGAATCATTTTTGGCAAGGAAGATACACGCAGAAATATTGCCAAGGTGAGAGTCCCCACTACGCAGGAAAGGAAAGCATAGTGAGCTGTGTCACAGGGAAGTTCATTCATTGTTTTATTTGTTCCACCAGGAGAAATGATAACTATTGAACTGCTGGAATTGGTATTCCATACCCAAGGCATACAGCCAACCTAGAAAAGACAGGAGAGGCAAGAAAGTCAGAAAGTTAAACATGAAATAAAAGAAATGCAGCTGCTATGGGGGCTGACTGTAGTTCTCTCCTAACTAGGAAAATATGGCTGTGGTGTTCCCATCCAGCTCACTGCTCCAATAAAATCTCTCCTTTTCTGGTAGTGTTTTACTCAGTTTTAGGTGTGGGATACTCTTTATTTATTAGATGCCAGTAAGACCAACCACTTAAAATCTGGGCTTAGCTGAGTATGTTCCCTTGCAGGGCTCAAACCCAGGAGATTCTCAAGCCAACATATTCCTGCAAAATTGAGGAACTTCAGTAAACATGTTATGTGGCCATGTGGGTGAGAAAGGTTCTTGCACAGAGCACAGAAAGAAATGCATTTGCTTTATTGACTATGCAAACTGTATCAATTTCAATTCATCAAGTATAAAATAAAACCTATTTTAATCTTTGATTGAAAACATGTATAATATCTTTTCTCCACCTCAAAACGACTTCCACATAAGATTCTAATACAAGACCTCACCTAGAAGTATCCCTGCCATTTCAGTTATGCAAGGAGTTCCATTTCCTCCCTAGACTGGGAAATAAATGGTTTAGTGCATTTCTTAGGGGCAATTTGAGGAAACGCAACCTGCTTTCTCCAAAGGCAATGTCATGTTCACATCTCAGAGCCCAAGAGAGGAGTATCTGGTAAACAGTGCAAGTACCTAGAGCTCCAGTTTTAACTGCACTCCAACCTTCACCCCTTATTTAGGGAGAGAAGAAGAGGTAGCATAAATGGGGAGAGTGGGATGGCAGTGTGAAATTGATTTTAAAAGGCACTATCACACAAGCCCTGCCCTCCACTTAAGCTCCTCTTTTGAAGTGTGTTATTAAACCTTTTTATTTCATCCTAACCACTGATAATGAAATTTTATAGCATGTTGTAAAATAACTGACAACCTGAGAGGTGATTAAGCAATGTATTTTACAGGGGGTTGTAGTCATTTGAAAAGATGAGATATAACACATAAAATGTGAGTTAAACTCAGGGTGGCTAACATTATGAAATGAGATGAAGGCAAGTGGAGTGAAAAATCTGTTTAATGTGATTTTATTCAATATCCTTAAAAATGCTGTTCATATCAAACTCATCCAAAACCACAGGCATGCACATGTACGATGGCTTCATAAATGATGTGTGATCCATCCAGGAAAACAACATCTGCTCTACAACTAGGAGTGAAACCTCAACACCTAGCTCCTATGCTAGCTGAGAATTCTAGAGCTATCACTTTGCAGGAACTTATCATTTCACATTAACATTTCTCCTGAACATTTCAATGGTTACAGGCTATTTTTGCTTCAATAAAGGATAAAGTTGTATTTGTGACCTATTCTAAGTTGTAACTAAATGATCACTTTCCTGTTGGAGGCCAGAACCTATAACCTGCATTCTTCCACCGATATTCAACGTTGCCTTAGGCCTCATGATTTCCGTTTACTCATTTCACCATCTTTAAGTGGCAACAATAGTGCTTGTTTCATTTGGTCAGTGTCACATCTGTGGGGACTGATCCACAATGGTTCCATCTGTCATAATTGTCACCTCAATCCCAAAGTCAGATACACAGAACTTGCTGAGATGCTAGCTAGCCTAGAGGTGCTGCATGTATCTGTGCCTTTTAGGCTTACATGCACATTAAGAACCAGTATTTGTCTGTGTGCTGTTAGGGCTGTGTGTTACTCACACAACTGATGTTCAGTATTTCTTGGCACCTCTTAGAACACGGGGATTTGCAGACAAGGGAACTGTTGCCCATTCAGTTCATGTGGATCAGCTTGGTAGATGTTCTCAGAGCAGGTCAAGGGATGAGTGAATACAAAATAAGGGGCTTGGCATCTCAGTACTGTGAAATGCTCATGAAATCCCTGTCTTCCTATGGGCAGAACACATAGCCTAAATTCCACAGAGAGGCATGATTTGAGACATCTGCCTCCTCAGCATTTCCAATTGTGTTTAGTGTGCTATTTTTGTGTGAATCCTTTCCTTTGGGTACCCTAACATGTTTAATTCATCAGCATTAGCAGCCAAAATGCTGAAATTGAGTGCTAGGAGTTTGACAAGGCAACTAAATGCCAAACACTTCAGTGGAAGTTTAAATCCCATTTGACATTCAAGTCTACCATGTAGAACTAGCTGCTAAACCACAGTGAAAGAAGCTCAATTTTCAGAAGGATTGAGCAAGTTCATTTCACACAAGAGAAGCTCCCCAGACTTTGGATATGAATGGATCATATAAATAGCACAATGTAAGCACCTCTTCCAGTTATACAATACTATCCATATTTTAAGATCTTGTTATCTTTTACGATTTGCCTGGACAAAAAATATCCCCTTGTTATCACACGTAAGATGTTCTGTAAGCTGCCACACAGAAATAAGTAATGTTGCTTGACACCATGCCTTGTCTGTCACAAGATATTAGCCATTGAACTAGTCATCAAGCTGAACATTTAAAAATAGCTTTCTCACAAAGTACATGACATCAGCAGACTATGTGATGCTAAGGTTTGATATAAAACTTTCTATAGATGTTGACTTGCTATTATCTGTGTAATTTGCCCATAGCTTTGCCATTCCTAAGTCAACAGCCTGACTCAGGGCAGTGAAAGTTCAGATTATAGCAAAGGGCTTTAATTTTGAAGAAACATGCTCTGCAAGAATGAATAAGTAAATGAATAGGAATTCACCACACAAGAATACAGTGCACGTTTAATGGATCTGCACCAGGCTGTTAGTTAAACAGAATGCTAAATTAAGCGATACTTGATTTAAATACTCACCACGCATCCTTGAGCCACGGAGTATATTAAGATCACAATAAAAATACACAAAACGGTACGAATCTGAATTGTCAGGCACCCTGGAAAACACTAAGGAAATAGAAAATAAAAAGATTTATAGCTATACATTTAAAGTATTTATTTCAAGTCGGGTTGTTATTTTTTAGTAGTCTATAAAAAGAAAAGAATAAGGGATACGGACATTTTGCCTGCACTGTAAATTATAAAACAAGCATGTAGTTATTGTGTACATACGCTTTAATGGTAATTGCATTTTGGGGGAGTAATAAATGTGAAATTGTTATTACTATACATTATTTCTCACTGTAATTAAAACTCTTTGAAAGGTTAGTAGGATGTCTGCTCATAATGCAAATAATAAATTAGCATGGCATTTGATTTTGTTCTCATGGGGAAAATCCCCAAAGCATCTTTTGCCATGCAAATTACCAGCTACAAACAGTGATCCAAGACAACATGCTGTGGTAGCATAGAATTTTGGAGTGGTATTTGTGTCTTCTGCTATAATAGTCATGTTAAATGTCAGGGTAGTTTTAATTATCAGGACTCCTGTAAGATATTGAATTTGTCAGGGCAGAAAGGGCAGTAGAGAACAAAAATGTCTGGTGGAATGGAGTCCTGTGAATCTCTTCGTCATCTTCAGTTTTACCCTGATGCCATCACTGCACCGTGTGACTTGCTTGCTGCTTGTGAACCTATATGGAGCCAGTGACAGAAGGTGAAAGAGGAAAAACAGGTCTGTCAGGCTCTAGTACTTATGCTTGTTCCAGTCATTCTGATCTTCTGTGGTTTCAGTCAAAGCTGATTTCCTTCTTCTCCCCTTGTATGAAAAATGTTTGTGGCATCTATTATCTTCTGGACCCACAATACGTGTTTCAGACAAGACGTCTTGCAGTGACTTCAAGGGGCAAGAATCAACGACAGGAAACAGTAAGATTTAAAGTGGGAGCAATTCTGTGTCCCTTAAAAGAAGAGGGCTCAGACTTATCAAGGCTGGATTTGACTTAAGATAAAATGAATCCAGCAAGCACCTAATTTTTGAATGAGTCACTAACTCTGAAGCTGTTCATCAAAAGCACAGTTTACAGCAGGCAGCAAAGCACCCATGGAATACCCTTCCTTTCACAGATCCAGAGACTCTTCATCTATCTGTATGTGTGACCACAAATTAAATACAGCAGCTCATCAAAAATAAAAAGCACGTGTGATCTACAAATACATCCTGGATTCAGTAAAGATTAAGTCCATGTAAATGTAGGTGGGAAAAAATCAATGGAATATCAATAGTAGATTTATATTATGATCTGAGTTTATTTGCTACACCAGAAACCAGCTCAGCTATTATTCAGCATCAGTAAAATAGATCGGGATACCTGAGGCATAGCACCCTTAATAAAACAGCGAGCATACTGTAGAACTAAAACCTTGCTTTGTAAGAACCTCACATTGAAAAGCTGTGTCTCAAGGGAGGGGATATAGCAGTGTCTAAAATTACACTATGAAAAAAGGGACAGCCTGTTTCTGCATTTATTCATCACTCACATATAGCTCAGGCTGGAAGGGAACTCAAGGGACTCCAAAATACAGAGCTGCTTAGTCCCCAGTCTGTCACTGCAGGGGGGTTCTTCCTTCTCAGAGCCTGGACTTCGCATTTATCCATGCTGTATCTCGTAAGATTCCTGTTGGCCCATTCTGCCAACCTGTCTAGGTTCCACTCAGTGGTCATCCTGCCACTGTGTTGGCTCTTCCCCTGAAACTGGAGTCACTAAAAACTTGACATGAGTATACTCCATGTCCTTCTCCAGGTCACTGATAAAAATACATAACAGAACAGGTCCCAGGAGAACTCTTATGGTACCCCATTTATTACTGGCTTCCAGGTAGAGTATGACCATAAGCTGCTATGCTCTGAATGTGATCATCCAGATGTTTTTTTACCTGCCACATTGTCTGCCCAACTGGACCAAAATCCTACACCACTTGAGGTGGAACGTGTGTGTTTTTATCCATATAAATAAAACAGAAAATGATTTTGTTTGAAGGAAACCTACATATTCCATTAATTCAGTCTGCAACCAAATAATTTATCTACTGCTTGTTGAAGAGAGAATGCCCACAGGCTGACGATAATGCTGCATGGTTAACAGTGATAAAGCAAAATGCAGATTCAATGTGTTCTGACACATTGCACTGACTTTTTTGTGTGTGTGTGTGTGTACATGTTCTAAATGTTGACACATCAGGCTTTGGGTTAAAAAGGGAAATAGACCCTTGAAAGGTAAGAAATGAAACATGTCTGAATTAAAACTCTGACTGACACTTAGAAGATTTATTCTTCTGACCTTTGGTGATTCTAAGATTGCATCTGCTATTTTCTGATAGCATTGCATTTTTGGCTTCTTTTACTTTATTTTCTTCGTGGAACTTCTATTAACTAAGTACTGTCAGAGGCACTTGTCCAGTGTAAAATAGCAAGTAAGTACCAGAAGACTGAATAAAATAGGAGAACGACTGGTTTCAAGTTCTCTGTTATACATAGTATATTAATTATCTTTTACTTATTATATAAAACAAATTTTTACCGTAAAATCCCAAACTGCAATACTCTGCGTTTTTGTATTTCTTTGTTTTTCTGCTGCTGGATTTGATCTGTAGGTACTCAATCTAGAGAGGAACCTGGAACAAATTAATGTTCTGTTGACTGCCAAAACAGCTGGAACAAGCCTTAAGTTGGCAGTAGCCCCAGGGAAACGCCATAAAGAGGAGCTATTTCCTACAAACTTCATCTGTGTTTCTACCATCCATAGACAGAACACACAACAACTACCGTGCCTTTATGAAACATAACAGATCATCCAAGTTACTCCCAAATAACTGAGTTTATCAATAAAGATCTGCTGTGTACCAGATACTCTGCTAATACACTGTTTATGTTGCCATGAAAACAATTACTTTCCTCCTGCCAAAAGCTAATTTTTCTTAACTGGAAATTAGTGTGTGCTTATCAGCAAAGCTGATTAATGGTGTGTTTTCTCCTGATATTTGTCTGAAAAGGCTAAATTTAGATTAAGCCACTACAGATTTCTTTCATCAGAAAATTAATCTGCAGATGCTATATTCTGATCTGGCAGACCTAGTTCTCTTTTACAACAACCAAATGTCCTTCTGCATCATTACTGTTGTGAAAACGCAATGCAGGAGAATTAATCATTACTAAAGGTTTTGAAAAGGCCAAGGGTTGCGTGTGCAAAACATTGTGCTTTACCATCAAAACAGCTGCTGCTGCTTTGGCAGGACAAGTTTTGAAAACAGAGGGGAATTTAGCAGGACTTTACACCCAGATACCAGCTGGAATGGAAGGGAACACTAGTGTGCTCCCTAGTCAGAAAGAAGAAAAAGTCACGTTACATAGCAGCTGTTTACCTGAACACTGGGATGATTTAGTTGCTAGAGGTAGGTGGTTCAGGGAAAACATAGCAAAAAAGACAAAAAGGATAGCATTAACGGCACTGCTCTAATGATTGCTAATGTGAAAAGTCTACTTTCAGGTGAACCATATTGGCTTTGAAGTGCTCGATACATTACTTAAAAATGAACTTGAAAAGCACGTAATTTCAGACTCTGAATCTGTGAAACATGTGCTGATGGCTTCATATTCCAAACAACAAAGCAAGCATAGCCACCAAAAGGAAGAATAGCCATAAAATCTTAAATCACTTACTTGTACTCGTGTGACATGTAGGTACATAATACAAGCCACTAGGAAGCATATGCAGAACACCAGGAGAACAAGAACTATGGTACTCCTAGAATCAAAACACAGCAGAAGTAAAGCAATGCAGTCAGTACAAGGTGAGAACAAACAGCACAGGGTCCTTCTGAAATGGTGTTTCGGATGAATGGTGACGATCTCTCCCCCACCCTTCCTGTAATACTGCTGCAGAGGAAACTTGACAGTGAAATGAACTGCTCTCAAGAATAAGAAATCAGTAAATGCTTTTGTACATAGTGCTCACTCTGACCTCAGCAAGGAGATCAAAGCACCTCAAAGATTCAACTATACAGTGTATCAGGAGAGACGCTTTCTAACTGTAGGCTAACGCAGAATATTCAGCATGGTAACTGGTGTAACCCAATTACCTGTCCTTGGCAGCTGTGTAAGTTACCAGATGCTTTCCCCTTCTGATCTTTCCTTCTCAGAGATTGAGAAATCAGTCAAGTCACTTATCAGATCAAATAAAACCAGACTACACTGTGATCCCTTCTTCTAATGAAACAGAGCAACTCCCCCCTTATGAGTCGTCCTCAATAGACAAATCTTATTCTTCACAAAGATGCTGCAATCATTATTTTAATTCTTAATCTTCCCTCTTTTGATCTTTCCAAATAGGCTTGTTCTTCCTGAGGAGAGAGGAGAAGACCAAGAACATCTCTCCTCCAGAAAACCTGTGCTATAGGAATAGTACTTTATGGATGTCAGCAAGTTGGCAAAAAATAAGTCCACCAGTGCTGGTGCTTTGATTTATGCTCAGGGACAGCCCGGCCCCAAGCCAGCCATGGAACCAGGACCACATGAAAGGAGCGTAACATGATCTTCACACCTTTTCTAGTCTTGTAAGAACACCCCAGCCAGTTCAGAAGATGTGATCCATGGCTGCAGGTATATATGCACCTTGACCACCACTGGGGAAAGATTGCCAAACAGGGTTTCTAACAGTAGAAGAGTGCAATTGTTTTGCTGTAGAATTTCTCCGTATTTGGCTTTGATTTAAAATTCATGTAACAATTCCCACCAACACACAAGCAGGTAAAATGTTGTGGTATAGTATGTATATCCAGAATAGCGAGATGACTCTAGTTAGTGTCAGTGTGGATTCTGAATACAAGTATTAGTGGTCCCCATGCTCTCTTGTGCTTTTAGAGAACTGGCTTGCATTCAGAATGGTAGTATGATAGAAAATAATGCAGGGGACATGACTGAAACAGTGTCTTCTATGGCAGCAACAGCCGTGAACTGACACTAGTGCTGCATGGGACCCTGGCAGAGATTTGGGTTGCCACAAGTAACAAAGGGCCACGTTGTTTTTTAAAAATAAACCCAGCAGAAGACACCAGGAAAGTTCATAATCAGGGCTTTGAGTGGCTACACTGCATGTATGCCTCCGGAACTGGACAGCTTAGGTTGACAGGAACGTAGCCTTACTTTAGCCAACTCCATCTGGGGACATAAAATACCTTTTTAATTAAGAAGCTGTTTCACTCAGATGATCATAGGAATTGTGAGAATACTGAGACCATTGCTTTGTGTGTATTTATGCAGCAACTGGCTTTCATACAACATTTTATTGTCTCTAGATTTTGAATGTCCTCCTTGAAATATTGTGATTATGTGTCAAACACTGTTACTATCACTACTCCCATTACAGTAACACATTAAACTTGTCTTTTGCATTCTTGTCATACTTACAACCACTTTGGCAATCTGAAAAGTAACATAAAGCTCCAAGTTCTGTGGAGATGGGAAAATTTGCAATACTTCCCAAGTTTTAGTCTAGCTCATGGTTCCATCTGTGCAAGTGCAAGGGATGAGCCCAAGATGACTAGTAATTTGGTAGTATGAAGCTACCACCAACAGACATTGTTTAAGACTACTGACTTATTATTCACACACTATGGGTGGCTTTTATAATTAACACAGTGATGAACCAGCCCATCTTCATGGCCTTCAGTGGTCATATTCTGCTGGAATTTGTGTGTCTGTCACATCAGAGCTTAAATTCAATCTCTGTCCAGCTGTTTTTTAAGTGACAGTACTTTTTGGAAAAGTTACCAACTACAGTACCGTATGATTCTTATAAATTCATTTTAGTTTCAACTACACTAATGAATTTTGTCTCTCCTTGTTCTAAATTGCCATGTACTGCAGCTGGGCTTTACTTTAGAAGTAGGTGAAGGAGTTCTTAACTCTGCTCCAATTAGTCAGCAAAGGTGGTTAGTCTGGAAATCAGATTATTTTTATAAGTGACTTTGAATTCTTCAGATGAAACGTATTATATAGCAAATTTAAATAATAATTACTACTGTTAAATTAAAAATGGTGTTTCTCAAACTTGCTATTAGAAATAACAGAATATAGGAGTAAGTATTATTCTGACAGGATTTGTGAGTAGAAAAGACCAGAAATTATAATGTGATTTTCAAAAGCATTGTGCTGTGCCCAGTTTTATTCCTAATAAACCCTAATTAGTGAAAGTGAGTGAAGCTGATTTTAAATGTTTTCATATTCTCACCTGAAGAAGCTTATTACTAAACATTTTTAAATCTTGAACACAACTGTATCTACTTCTTATCACCCCTAGATTTGAAAGTGAAGTCTAATTCATTTTTTATTTAGTAAGCATTCACGCAGAATTGACAACATCTGAATTAATCACTAAACTGTATCACTCAACAGTAGGCACCAGACACCCCCCAAATCCATCATGAGTATATGGTTATACCTGCTTTAATGCAATCAAGGCCTGACTGCAACTCACACGGGAGTAGCCAAGCCATGCAGCTCGTGTAGTGATAGCATCATTACCCAAAACCTCAATGCAGGCTCTAAATTTGGGCTGAAAACCTGGACTAATACTTCAGTGCTTAGTTCCCATTAAGCTCTGTATATTTTTATCTATGTGGTTATTAATACCTGAAGTACCTTGTCCAAAGCCAGCACAACTGTAGTGCAGAAATGCTTTGAGTAAGTGTGGAAGATTTCAGTGGGGATTTTTTCCTAAGTGCATCTCCTTATTCCCAGAAAAGAAGGGGGAAAATGTTTTAAAGTAAGATAGCAAAATGTGCCTCCTTTGGACAAATAGAAGAGCGAATGGTTAGACTGAGGGTATACCAACAGGGAATCTCGTATTTGAAAAGACAGCAACCCTGGGTGCTAATTCCCATTTCAAAGACATTAACTTTTTGACCTTGACCGGATGCTTGAAGATGTTCCACTTTGAATTGTAATAGGAAAAGACAGAAACTTACTGTGGTATTATCAGAAGGTAGACAAGGCCAAATAAGGCAGCTAGAATTAGTGAGAGAACTACAGCACTGGTAAAATACTCATCCTGAAGCTGGTGGTACTGTTAAAGAAAGGAAGAAACAAAGACAGTGAGCATTTTATACACACCCAGCCACCCAGGTTTTACATTCTCAGTAGGAAAGAACTATAGCCTGAAGTAAAACAAGTCCCTACCCTTTTTACAAACATACAAATAATCATTGCTTAATTCACACACACACACACACACGCACACGCACACACGCACACACGCACAAACCAGGCGTGTGTCTATACAATGTTTTCCTTGACAGACTTCAGTTTCAGCTGCTCCTGTTGGCCTAGCAGTTTAGTTTTCACCCTGTAACTACTAAATCTGGGTTATGCTCAGACATAAGTTCACTGTTTGGAGCAAAAAAGATTCACCCATTTTGAACAAGGAGGTGGCACTCCACTGATACATCACAAAAAAAAGCCAAAACCCCTTTGGTGCTGTCCTCAAGGTGTCCTGCCACCTTAACTACCAACCTGGATTTCACTGAGATAATTTTGTTCCTAGCAGCTGGAGCAGTGCTGTATTTTGGCTTCAGTCTGAGAACTACGCTAATAACACACTGATGTTTTAGTTGTTGCTAAGTAACGCTTACCCCAACCAAGGACTTTTTGGTCTCATACTCTGCAGTGAGAAGGGGCATAAGAAGTCAGGAGGCAGCAGAGACAGGACCCCTGACCCAGACTAGCTAAAGAGGTATTCCATACCACGGCACATCATGCCCAGTATAGAAAGTGAGGGGAACTGGCTGGAAGGGACTGATCGCTGCTCAGGTTGGGCTGGATATCCATCAGAGGATGGTGAGCAATTGTAGTGTGCATCACTGCTGCTTATTGTTGTTTTTTCTCTGAGTTTTCACTCTCTTTTTGTTACCTCTTCTTTTTATTATTATTACAAGATTGTACCTGATTTTAGTTATTGAACTGTTCTTATCTCAACCCATGGAATTTACCTTTCTTTTCCAATTCTCCTCCCCATTTGACTGAGGGGAGTGAGCTACCTGGTCCTCAAGTTGCCAGCTGGGTTTAAACAGCAACAGCTGCTCAGGACAGGACACTAACCAGTGGGCTGGAGGCAGCTGCTAATGAGAGCCACAAGCTCAGTTTTGGGTAGTTACTGCCCTGATTCCACTAAGCCTCAATCCTTACAACAGAACACTTTCCAGGGGTGGAAACATGGGTCTTTTCTCAGAAAGATCAAAATTTCAATCTCATTTGGACCAAAAGACTTTCTTATTTTGAAAGAAAACAATTACCAGTAGATAATAAATCACTGTGGAAACTTGAAACCAAGGTTAATTCCCAAGACCTTTAAAAAACAGAGTCCAATCTGGCACACAGCCTTCTGACTTGAAACAGCAGTGGCACGAAGTCTTAGACTACAAAGTGACTTAGAGTGGAAAAATAAATGCTACTGCCAAATTAATCCAAAATCCCTTTTGCTTTTTCAAAAACATAAACCAAAGGCTTTTATTTTTTCCCAGCTAAAACAACTTGGATTTACAAACAAAACCCATGCAAGGTAGGGACAGCTCTACTTTGTTAGGTTTTATGCATGGTAGTAAGTCTGGAGTAAGCCCATTGCTTTCAGCAAAGTCACACTGGCGTAAGATCACAACCTTGCACAGAGATGTAAGATTGTTTTTTACATTTTCTAGGATTGATGGGATCAATACTTATCAGGCTACTTATGCAGAGGGAAGCATCCTCCTGTCATTAATGCTTCTCCAGAGCAGATGAGTTAGTAGGCAGCCACATGGCCATGAGACAGCATTAAACCAGTGACACAGGTCAGGCAGTCTGGAGAAGCAAAAGGAGGGCCAAAACACAGGATGTGTAACTTTATGTGGAAGGATCTCAATTAGTAAAAGCGATACTGATAGCTCTTTTTATCCCCTCTACATGCTTCTATAGAAGGTGGAGATGATGTCACCCTCTTAACTGAGAGACAGTCCAGACGATTATTTAAAGATAGCGAGTAGAGTTTCAGTATTGTGTATAACCAAACAACAAACCAGTGCTAGTTGGCTCCTGGTCAGTGAAATCAGTAAAAGATCATTGTAAGCCCCCTTACTTTATTTTCACGCTCAATTTGCTTGTACTTCAGGGTGAAGAAGTTCAAGTCAGCCATCTCAGACTCAGTTTGCCGGGCCTCTATCAAGCGGCTGATGTATCTGTTCACTCGAGTTCCTGGAGTGTTGTAGACAACATTGGTAGAAAAAGAGGAACGATTCCTGAGTTTTTCAGAGGCTGTCCTTAGTGCTCTCCTCTGCAGCACAGATGAAGAAAGAAGCACAGATTTTAATGTTACAGGTTTTCATTGCTGTTCGTATTAGCTCAAGCTCGCAGCCAGGATGAGGAACTCCTTAAGCAGAGCAACTATCTCCATGTGTTTGCCATCTTTTGAAAACACCTTAGCTGAAATCCCAATCTCACTAAAACCAAGGAGAAATTGCTCACTGCATTCCAGGATTTCAATCCTTATCCACAGAAATTCTCTTCATATACTGCCCTAACACTTCCCTGCCACTGAGCAAATAATCAGTTTCATCCACAGCAGTGTGACTTTACCTAGAAAAATAATCAGAGTATCCTTCTTCTAATTGAAGACATGGACACCGCGAGGACAAGACAATCAGGCTCTTCATGACACAAAAAGTCTGACTGTCCAAGACTGCCTAGGTAAGAATATGCATTTTGAAGAGGTAAATTTCTTTACCCTCTTGCACAAAGACCATGTGTGACTTCAGAGGGTCTGAAATCTCAAGTGTTCCTATTCTTAACCTAGCCAAGTGGCTCTCTTGTTAAGACCTCTTGGGTATGCCTTAATTGCACTCGCAGATCCAGATGGAGCACTCCAATAAATTATCAGAGCTAACCTGTGCCTAATTGGGGTTAATTCCTCCATGGCTGAGACAGCACAACTGACAGGATGATCACTCCTTCGCAGTGCAAAAGATTTATCACAGAGAGTATCTGAAAGGGACTTCACAATGTCTTGCTCTTCACAGAGAGCACTTAGAAGATGGTGAGCAGCTTCTCAGCCACACTGGTGGTAAACTTCAGACGAAGGCACTGTGATGTGGAGACACTCAAGGCCAGGCTGGATGTAGCTCTGAGCAACCTGATCTAATTGAGTATGTCCCTGCTCAGTGCAAAGGGTTGAACTAAGATGAGCTTTGAAGGTCCCTTCCAACCCAAACCATTCTATGATTCTCTGACTCTACGATCTAAACCATTACAGCTAGATCTATACTATGACTGCCCATGCCCCAGCACACTGAAAGCCTTACGGCCTTCCCCAAATACTCTTGTAGATGCAGTATGTCTTAAACATAGAATGAGAAAGATATAGGCCGATCTTGTACAAGAAAAACCAGTCACCTAATGGTTAGCACACTATGCTAACATGTGCGCACAATATCCTTTTCACCTCAAAAGAAGTCAAGCCTGACTTCCCAGAAGAGTTTTGACAACCAAACTCAGACAAGTTGTACTATTTTTATACAGCTAAAGGAGTACTTTTTTTTGTCTAACATCTGCAGAGTTCAGGAAGACAATTCAAACCGATGTGAAATGAATGACAAGTCTGCTCAGGGATAAGGACAACACTGGCTCAGGATATAATCAGTAGAGTGTCAGCAAGCTGTTACAGAAGTACATCAGATTTCTCTCTTCAGAGCAGTCAGTACTTAATAGCCCACTCTTTCAAAGCTATACTACAAAATATCCTTTAAAGCCAGATGGTAAAAGGAGGTGGTGATTGCTATTTAAGTAATTCTGCAGGAATGGCAGTTTCCCGTTTTATTCCACAAAAAGTTCTCATGAGAGCCTCATTAGTGAACAAATAATGAACTACAGCAGTTCATTAACTTACATAGCTTATGTTATAATGTAAATTATACCTGAATACTTATGAACAGTGGGAAGGGTTAACTGCTGACTGACACCTTAGTTTATTGATTATGAAGGAGAATGGACCTTAGCAAAGATAAAATAACCTTCCAAGTTCTGCTTTGCTGGCTTTATAGGTAGAGAGCAGGTTATACCAGCATTAACCAATTACGAGGCTACTTAAGACATTTTTCTTCAAACTATCAGATCCCATTACTTGTGAAGTTGCCCGTGGTGTAAGAACTAAATGTTTAAACATGAAAAATAATCCTGTGGACATACACAGATTAGAGCTTTCAAATCTGGTCTTCTGGTTTCTGTTAGCCATAATAAAAATCTTCAATTGCCAGCCAAGCAACTATTCCAAATGTTTCTAAATGGAGATAAAATTGTTCTCTTGCAGAAGACATTTGTCCCATACGTTTGTGGGGAAACTGAGTGCTTTCAGGAATATTGTTAGGAATATCCAATTTTGCTCTTTAAAAACAACTAGTTAGCATATGTGTTGCTTAAGGTGCAGCAGAAAGTACATCTTTGGGGATTTTTTATAACCCAAATTTATACCCACAGCATAATAATAGGGGTGAGCAAAACAGCATTAAAAAAACCCTGAAATGCTTCTCTTCTTTAAGATCTGGAATGAGGGCAGACGATGGGAGTTATTCTGATACATGAAACATTCTAATATTTCTGTGAAATAAATTCAATTATTCTGCCAATTTAAAATAGCGTTAAAGTTACTGTGTTCAATAGAAATAGCTGTTGCTTACATACACTTATTTTCACTAGGTTCCTTATTCTTATCTCTATTATTATTTCAAAAAGCAGACTTACATTATATTAGGTCTTATATGTGATCAAGACCCAGTATTTATATTTCTCAACAATTAAATAAATACATGCTGCAGTAATGCGCTAGCTTCAAAGCCTTTATAGCCACAGCTTGTTTTACATGATGTGAGGACTGATATCTCTGAAGCAACCCTGCATTGCAAAACAGTGTATTTACACTAAAATCATGTATCATGCGCCACAATAAATGTTATGTGTTCGGTACAAAAGCTCAGAAAACGGTTTCAGTTAAAGATGGCATTGCAGAACTTCATTGTAAATGTTCTGACATGAGAAAATCTTCATCAGATCCCTAAAACACCCATATCAGGATTTTCTATGTGAACTACCATATTTATACATACATATACGTAAGACACATTGCAAAATATTGCATATGCTTCAAGGAACGTAGGGGTCACTTTGTCCAAATACTCAAACAACAGTACTGATTCACAACTGGAGGCCTAGTACATGGAAAAATTCAACATAAAATAAGGAGTTTTGGAAAGTCTTCACTGAAACTGCATCTTAAAGGAACTGATGTACTTTCCTCCCTTTTTCCCACAGAACAAACACGAGGCCATGCAAAATCCAAAATACAGAAACTGGAATGCTTTCTGAAAGCGAGGTTTAAACTGGATCTTCCATGAACGTATACTACTTTAATTAATCCAAACAACAAAAGGGGGAGCAATCAGTCTAGTAATACATCTAGAGTGCCTGTTGCAATACACCCATGCGCTGCTCTGGAGCACAGGTGGAGTGACCTATGTAACATTGCCACCTGCTGGCCAAGAAAGTGAAATGAGAAACTCGTCAAAAGTATTTTCTCCATCTATTTTGGGGTAGATCCACACATAGAAAAGGAAGTAAACCAGCCTACTGGCAATTTTGAGTTATGGCATTACAAGCCAATACACGAAAGCACTATTCTTATTTGTACTACGGAGTTTTGTATTTAGGATTTGTATTAGGAACAAAGAAGGTTTTTAGCTTATCGCCTGCCTTCTAGCTTTTAGAAAACCATCTTGAGATATCAAATTATTCTGTTATCTTGCATTTGCTGCTACCAGTTTCAGACTGTGATGGACTCATGATGAAAAAGATCAGCTCTAGGAAACTGCAGGAACAGAACAGAAGCTAATTCCTGTGAAGGAAGCCCTTAATAGAAGCAACATAGGCTACCTGTGCTGGATTGTTCAAGAAGAGCTCCAAATCTGAGGACTGTTAAGTTCTGCCTGTATTGTGAGAAGGCTGTGGGCATGAGACAGCCCTAGCTTCAGCAGGAACATCAGAAACTTCTCTGTCATTTGGTCAGGTCACCCCATACATTCTCAGAGCAGGTCTGCTGAATGTGGCCCTGGAACAGATGACTGAAGAGCTCACATGGATTACCTTATCATCATCCTCACACGTCATGACATTGGAGAAAGGGATCTCTGCTTTGAACATCTTCCGACAGTGCATGAGCTGAACAAGCAGGTAGCAGACTGTCTTGAACTTCATTCTTTTGGCAGGCTTAATGTCCGAGAGAATCAGTCCAGGAAATATCTGTTGGTCAGGAAAACAGCATTTATAATTGTGTCATTATTCCCACCCAAACCATTCTGTGATTCTGCGATTCCATTCGCATGCAGACATACGTACTTGCAGACACTTCCACCATCTAGTGGTCAGAACAAAGCAATATTGCAACCAAGCAGCAACACATTTTGATAAACATTGTATATTTGCAGATGAAGATGACCTCATCTTTTTTTAACCTGAGATATAAAGAATCTCTTGAGCAGACAGTATTTAAGCACATACTTCACTTTTTGGAACCTCTGTTTCACACAGAAATGTAGTCTACTAAAAAAGCACGTTAATGACAAACTCTGAAAGAGGCAATATTTGTATTTCTTCAACTTTAAAATAAATTCTGGAAGAATACAGGAAAAAATAAGGAAGAAATGAGCATTTTTATAAATTAATGTTAAAAAACACAATTTCAGTCTTTTTCTTATTTCCTTATTTTGTTGCTTCAGCCACTGGTAAGGCTGTTAAAATCAGAAGAGGATAGCTTTTGCTTTAAAGTTACACTTACATACATGCTCTAAAGGAGGCTGTGAGGCACTCAGGTTGTATCTTACATCTTCTTTCTTCAAAGCAAGACGTGTTATACCATAGAGAACTAGTCTCAACGGGTTGGGTATAATCTCTTCCTTTTTTCCACACAGCTCCCAGTTCAGCAAGGACAAATATTTTCTTGGTTAACTCATAAGCATGCATTTAACTCTTGCTGACGTTAGTAAACCCCTAGCACATACTCACTTTCACAGATCAGAATAAGAGTGATCCTTTGTTCTACCCTCGGTATTTTTACAAATCATATTCCTGCTTCTGGCATGTGGAATGTTAAGCAGTGTTCTGGCATGTGGAATGTAAAGCAGTGCTCATGGGAAATGTGGAAGGACCCCATGCCACCACACTATGGGAATTAGAGCTTGTAATATTAATCTTTTCTGGAACAGAAAAATAAAGAAGCACACAGGATTTGGTCCCTAGTGTTCCTGGGTACAAAAGGCAAAGCAAATCACACTTCAAAAACTTTATTCAAATGCTCTAAACCCCACAAATGGCACTAAGGATTCTCTGTTCAGTCTTCATAGTACTATGAGTTACTAGAGAAGCTTGTGTCATTACTTCAGAGATCAAGGAATGAATAAAGAAGCATTCGTTTAGGGCATGTTTTCATGGATACTGAAATTTAGAGAGACAGGAAAATGACACTGCTTCTATTCTGAACGGCACCTCAGATACAGGTTTGCCATGCTAAACATGCCATGTTAAACAACACATACAGCGATGCACTTGCATTTTCTAGGGAATCGAGGGTATATCCTCTTGATCTATCAGTACTCTGTTTAGTCAGCTACACTGTGGCTATGAAACACAAGAATGACTTGTGCATACATGGCTTTTTATTAGCATGTAGCTATGTTATGAACATATGACACGTTTCAAATGTGGGAAGGCGCCTAGGTATGCACATGTGCTTTGTTGTGCACTGAAAGCCTGACTGAAACCAGGTAGCATCACCAGCACTGCAGTGCATGGTCATCAGCTAGAATTTAAAAGGGCACTCAAGTATCTAGTATGTAATCACCTGTATAAGTGATAGTTTAACAAAAGTGTCCATGAAGCAATTCCCAACATGAACCCCTTCTTTTGAGGGCTTTATGGCTGAAGACTTACTCTTGTATTGCAATAACCACATAGAAGATACTGTATAAGGAAATCCACATACCAAATATCCTTTAAGTATTAATAGGACACTAAATAGAAAGTTGTTATGCTTGAGTACGGCAGATACAATAAGCTTTTGAGCTACCATTCCCAACAGCTAAAACATACTTTATGGACAAGTACTCTGCTTATAAAAATTCCCAATTTTCCCTAGCCCTAATTCCTCTAAAAGTACTATGTATTTCACTCAGTCTCCCCATCAGTCTTTTCATACAGCAAAGATTAGTAACTTCCTTGAAAGTCCCTCCAGTTTTGCATTTTGCTTCACCTTTTTAAGACAGAGATAAAATGGAATACATAGAGGTTTACAGGTGAACCATATCTCAAGAGATCATTAGGTCTTTCTTTGCCCAAACCTTTCACTGTGGACATTGCATTAACTAGGTCAACAATTTCAGTTTTAGGTCTCCGTAAGACTGGCTGGAAAATATGCTCTTAAGTAACTAGAGAGCTACAGAAGCTGCTTGACAGCCTTCATTATGGAACTGCCACAGTAAAGGTGCAAGAGCAGCAAAGAATAGGTAGAATGTCTTACAAGCGAAAGATTGAGGAAAACACAACTCAGAAAGGGGAGCCCATGGGCATGACTATATCCACCTATAAGGATTTGAAGTCCTGTGAAAAAAGAAGAATTTAGACCTTCCCTGATGCAAACGTCTTATTACAGATGTGTTTCTGTATCAACCTGCAGCTTTAAGACTTGGAATGGATACAGACTGGCTCACTCAGGCAGTGTGACCCTAGCACACCAACATGACTTTTCCCCAAACGTGTATTCATGCACTTTCCTGACTATATCTTCAAAGAAGTAAGTAGAACACTTTTAGCTCACACCATCAATGAGTCTATCTTTGTTTATAAATCTTAAGGGCAGATACTCTATCAATCTTTGTATGTTGGAAATACAAGGGAGCTTTCCAGCTGTCTGGAGTCAAATAGGAGTTTGTAAGCTCAGGCCACTGGAAAAAAAAAAGGAGCAATGTATCTCCTTCTGGGCTCCCCAGTAGGAGAAAAACAGTGGCAAAATGGAGTGAGTTCAGCAAAGGTTCATCAAACCAACTGGGGTTCTAATCCATATGACATACAGAAGAACCTGTGGGAATTCAGTTCATTAGCTGGGAGAAGGCTATGGAGAGATCTAATTACTATCTTCAACAACCTAAGTAGTAACTGGAGAGAAGACAGAGCCAGACTCAATGTAGAAATTATCAAAGCACAAGAGACAATGAACATAGGCTGGATCAAGGGAAATTCCTATTTGATGCAGAGAACATAAGTTTTCACTGTGAGGATGAGGATGTGCTGGAGCAGGTCGCCCAGACAGGCTGTGGAATCTCCAGCCAGGAAGACAGTAAGCACTCACACAGAGGAGTTGCTCTGAGCAATGTGCAGCTCAGAAGTGGATCTAACTGTGAGGCTGGCCACACTTTGAGTAGGAAAGTCGACCACGTAACTCCAAGGGCTCCTTCCAAATTCAGCTACAGTGCGATGCTGCAAACATGTGGAACACATATAGCTATGGTTCTCCATGGCTGTCCAAGAACCTAGCCACACAAAGGACACTGCAGGACACACAGGCCAGGCATACTGGCAGTATGTAAAATATCTATTAATATAATTAACAGACATGTATAATTTATATATATATTAATTCATATGTTTGTGGGTTTTTTTTAATCTAGTGGTTGCACGACACATAGATTCTGCACCGGGACTGAGGATTTTCCATCCTACCATTCTATATACACAATACTAAAAATACAAAGGAAATCTTTCCCACTTTCATCTCACAAATCATGCCCCTTTTTTTATTACTACTTTTACAGCAGAACACCACTTGTGACACAGTGAACTTCCAAGTGGAATATTTCAGTAATCTCACCTTCTGCTGTTATCCTCTGCTACAGGCAAGAAATGCAGTAGTCTGTTAGATGTAAAAAAACCTCCAATGTTTCTCACTCTGCCTTGTTACTGAACTTGTTCCAGGCCAGCATTACAGGGAAACTGGACTGCAGCATTCTCATTCCAGCTCACTTTCTGTAATGCATTTTACTTTCACACTTCTTTATGACCCTCGGGATCACCTTTTATTCTGCTCACTGTTTGTTTTCTTCATCATGGTAGGGAAGGTTGGCTGGTTGCTGCAACACAGCTGGCAAACAAGTTTAAGAGCTGGGATTTTCCAACAGAGGACTCTGAAAGCAGCCAGACTATCTACAGCTTTGGGAGTAACTTCAAGTATGCAGACAACAAACCGAATGCTGATTAGAATCCTGGGAAAACACCCCAGTGTTTGAATCGCATGCAATACCCTGGTAAGGGATTCACTGGTGCTTATCTGGGATTCTCAGGAACAGCAGCAGACTTTTGTTCCCCGGCTATGTTCAATTACAGTGCTTAAAATGGCATGGGAAAAAAGACACTAATGACACACAAAGCACATTTACAGAAACCATCAATGCTGTAAGCCTTATGCCTATCTGTGTTTTCTCTCTTCAGGCAGGCAGAACCATTTCTCTTGGTTAGCAGCGTTTGCCTGTTAATATCTGCACACCATTTTGCCCTGAGATAGGTGTGCAAATCTTTGGCTTTTTAACCTTCTTACAGTTAAAATCATCAGACATATACTTTTCCATCCTTTTCTACTGCCCTTATGACACATTCTGCTTATACCTCAGCTGTCTGTCAGGAAAGCATATTAGTTATTTTTGCCAATAAGTAATGCAGCTTCTATAAGACAAACTCTAAATATTCAGAATGCCTTGGCCACTTCCTTGACACATAAAAAGATTTTAGAGACTGTGAAGACTAAAACAATCTCTAAGAGATCAAGAATGGAGAAAATCTTATAGCAGTGCCCCATGCTTCTCCCTTCTACAGATTCCATATTTCTGGAAGAAGAACAAGAAGAGAGGAAATCGACGTTAGAGCACATCAGTAGCTCCACCATCGCTGACAGCCCAAGCTGTGTGCTGTCACACGGACGATAATGCACTGGCAGTTTCACAGCAATTGCAGAAACAATCCTGAAGACGGACAGCAATACACTGTGCAACACAACCACCGTTCCTCTGCCTGTGTTTGCTGGGTGCTAACGTAAGCAGTGTTCGGTGTGTTATATTCCTACAACTTGTGCAATGCTGTGTCTCAGGCACAAATCAGCCCAGATACAAGCTAGAGCTTCCATCAAAAGGCTGTGTGTCTATCTGTTAAATTAGATCTCATAAGGTGTATCTGAGGTGAAATGCCTAAGCTATACATTC